TTTTCGAGATCACACCAATTCTCGTTAGTCTTTCGAGTTCTTGGTCAATGTTTTTCTAATGCGGCAAAAGGATGCTCGCTTTTTTAAAAAATTGGTTGAATATTTTTCTTCAGCTGTATTTTTGCTGATGCTTCCGTGCAACGTCCAAGTCCTTCAGCGAAGACTTCGGGGAATGCTACTTTTAATTCTGTTTTTAAATTGTTTATATTGTCTTTGCTTTCACTAATGTTGTTACAAAAAAAACTAATGGGCATGTCCCATAGATTGAACTTAGTGATTGTGTCAGTCCCAAACAGGTTGTTCGTATTTTTCATTACAAAAATTTTCATTTTTATAGACTTGTTGTTGAAGGTTATATTCACCCATATTTCACCTTCAAATTTTATCTTTTTTCCAGTTACCGTCCTGGCTATTTTGTTGGACTTTAGCAGAGTTGGCTTTCCTAGATTTTTCCATGTTTGTGTGTTAATAATCGAAATGTCAGATCCTGAATCTAGTTGCATTTTTACCTTGTTGTACATTTTTACATGTTATATTATTTTACAGGTATTTTCGAATATTCAGGTCTTGATCTTCGTCTGACTTAGTAACTTTCACTCGACTTCTGTTTAATTTTCTACACTTGGACATCTTATGTCCTACTTTCTTGCAATTTCTGCAAGTTTTATTTTTATATGGACAGTCATTGTACCAGTGCCACTGGCCACATCCATAACATGCACTTGGGAGTTTTTTTCTATAGTCTCTGTTTATTCTTGTAGTAGGATACCACTTCCATTCAGGCGATGGAGAACGGAAACGAGTCTTCCTATATACTTTCTTCACATTTGCGATAGCAGTTTCTTCTATTTTCTCTGAATCTTGCTTAATGCTTACGCATTGCTGACAGTACTTGGCTAGCTTTTGTAGTGTCATGTTTTGGTCATTTTCTAGCTTTGCTAAAATGCGTCTTCGCATTTCACTATCTTTTTTAGACACTAAGCCTAGCACGAATATTAGACATTTGAAATTATCCGCTGATAATTCGGACAGGCGAAAATCGTCACATGCCTTATTTACGATTGATGCGAAAGTCGTGTAGTCTTCCTGCTTGCTTTTTTGAATATTAAGGCATTTCCACCTTTTGTGAATGCAGTGAGATGCAAATTAGTATAATTTGCATATGAGCAGGTAGCTCATATGATAAACGGACACTAACTAGAATGGAAGTCGAAACGCTTACTTAGCAAGATACACGACACAACAATGGCATCGCCAATAGGATACTCTTTGGTCCTTGAAGACCCAGAATACGTAGATATGTGGATTCGTTGCTTTGCTGCTAATGCAAGATGTAAAAAGTTGAAAGACAACAAAAACAGAGGAGGGGAAAATGAAATCACCGACTTGTTTATGGCTACCGCTGGTTGTGAAGCGATTATGAAGGTTGCTACAATGGTTTACCCTCGAGAACTAGAAGAAATGACTTTTCAAGAAATAAGTCAGGTTATTAAGGGAAACATGAAGCCAAAGAAAAGACTGGTGATTGCAGAAAGGACCAAGTTTATGGCAATGAAGCAGGAAGTGGATGAACTGATAGTAAAATATTTACACCGGTTAAGAAGTGTGAGTAAATACTGTGAATTCAAAAACTAGGAACAGGAGAGCAGACAACGGAAGAAGAATTAATCCAACTAAGATTAATTGAAGGTATGCATAATTCAGCACATAGATATAAGTTAATGGAACAGTTACAACTTACAAAACATGCCTTTGAATATGTGTATAGAATTTATACAACAGCAGGAATTAATACATACCTACAACCAAAATAAAAATAAATCCTACGAAGAAATAATGGCTGAAACATATACGGTACAAACAAAAAAGAAAAAATTATGCGTATTGTGGAAAAATTCATGAAATGAAAAAAGAAAATGCCCAGCCTTTGGAAAGACGTGTTCAAAGTGTTTAAAAAAAAATCACTTCAAAGAAGTATGTAAAACGAAAAATGTGGAAAGAGTAGAGGATGAAAATAGACAGATTTTTAATGTAAAAAGAATAATATACAAAATACTGGATCTAAGAACGGAGATACAAAAAATAAAAGTGAAAATCAACGACTGTATTGTCGAAATGCAAATCGACACATGTAGTGAGGTCACGATAGTACCCAGAAATTTGTGGGAAAAATGGGAAAACCGTTTTTAAAAAAAACCAACGTATAATTACGCCAGTTTGATGGCTCGATTATAGCAATTATGGGTTACTTTGAAGGTTCAATAGAACTAAAAGAAAAATATGAAATAGTACCCATTATAGTTACAAAAAACATGGACTACTGTTAAAAAATAAATTCAGTGAAGTTGATTAATGAGATCAAATAGAAAAACAGGAAAATTAAAAAATTATGAAGCTAGCCTGAAATTAAAAGAAGATGTTTCCCCTCCTACTACGAAGTGAGAAAATACTAGTGCATTTATTACCGTTGGTAATAGCTAAATTCTGAAAGCTAATAAAGGAAGACTTATTAGAACCTGCCCTCCAGGAGGAAGTAAATGGGCATCACCCATTGTGGTATTGAAAAAAATGGTGACCTGAGAATTTGTGGAGATTATAAAATAGGGGTGAACCATAAAGTTTGTGCTGACTGCACCCTATACCGAATGTGGAAGTAGCTTTTACATAAACTTGCTGGAATGAAAGTATTTTCAAGATAGACCTAAAATCAGCTTACCACCAAATACCAATAAATGAAAATTTTAAAGAAGTGACGACCATAAACACACCTATAGGCCTGTTATGGTGGAAAAGAATGCTGTATGGCATAAAAAGCGGCAAGTGCAATTTTTCAAAAAGCTATTGAAAAAGTAATAGGAAATGTTGAAAATACCATCTGTTATCAAGACGATATATGTGTTGGAGATTTAAATGAAGATGATTTAAAGAAAAAAAACTGAAAATATACTGAACCGTTAAGAGACGCTGGTATGACAATAAATACAAAAAGTGTGTAGCCAACAGTAATGAAATATCATTTTTTGGTTACTCAATATCAAAGGAAGGATCTCTCAGATAAAGTACTAATAGAGAAAATTCTAAAGTTGCTACACGAAAAAATAAAAAAGTTGAGTCCTTCTTAGGTTTGGTAAATTTTTATAGAAAATATGTACCAAAATATAATGAGTTGACAGAACCATTTGCTAAGTTAAGAAAAAAAAGTGGAATTCATTTGGTTGGAACACCAACAGAAAGCCTTTGAAAACTTAAAACAGATTCTGGCAAAAAAGCCAATAGTACAAATTTTTTGACCCTAAGAAGGACATAACTCTAACTACTGATGCTAGTGAGCAGTCCATATCTGGTATTTTGTCACAAGATGGGCATCCCATAATGTACTTATCGAGAGATTAACAACAACTGAACACAATTATTCGAATATAGAAAGGAGGCACTAGCCTTAGTGTGGACAACGGATAGAGCAAGACAGTTTTTTGATGGGAAAAAATTTTGTTGAAAAGTGATCACAGACCACTGGAATTTATTTTCAACCCAAGAAAAGAGCTAGCGAAAGTTACAACATCCAGAATATTACGTTGGACGATTAGACTGATGGCGCTTCGACTTTGACATTGAATATATTAAAGGAATACGATACCGCACGTTGATGCCTTATCTAGATTGAGGTTTTATAGAGGAGAAGGACAAAACGACGAGGAATTTGAAGACACATTCTTGCACCTTGTAGAAACTGATGTAATATCTGTAGATAAAATGGCTACTGAAACTACAAATGACCCAGTGTTAAATAGAATAATGTCGAGGATAAAACAGAATCGCTGGGGAAATTATTCAATGGCTGAAAGACCATTCAAAGAAATCAGACATAAAATGACTATAGAAAACGGGATAATATGTAATGGAGACTTGGTAGTTCCCCAGAAACACAGAGGAGACAGGTTATAAAAAGTGTACACGATGACGTACATTGTGGAGTGGCAGCTACATAAAGAAGATTAAAATTGGAAGTGTGGTGGCTGGGTACTCAAGAGACATAGAAGACTATGTAAAAAGATGCAAAAATGCACAGAACTCAGGAATTTTAAGCAAAGAAAATACATGTATGGCCCCGAGAAGTAGAACCATGGAGCAGAGTACACATGGACCATGCCTATGTCAATGGGATAGGACTATTATTAATATTAGTAGACGATATTCAGGTTGGCCTGAAGTGGTGAGAGTACCTGATAAAAAAAAGTACCACCGTAAAACATATTAAGAGTAATATTTTCGAGGAATGGGACACCGAGAACATTGGTGACTGATAACGCATCAGAATTTGTGGATGCTGATTTGCATGAATGGCTAAGAAAAATAGGATGCAGACCTTACAAGACCCCTCCCTACCACCCTCAAAGTAATGGGACAATAGAAAGGATGGTCCAGACGGTAAAGAAGGGCATAAAAGCATGCTTGCAACAGAAGGAGGAAATCGATGCTTTCCTACCAAGACTGTTATTAAGTTACAGAACAATTCCACATGCAGGCAGAAAGGCCGGAAAGTCCATCTGCCTTAATGGGCAGACAATTAAGGTCCCCTTTGACTATGTCATATGCCACAAATCAAAAGATGTGGTACAAAAGAAATAGGAATATGCAAACCGAGTCAGCCGAATTTATTATGCAGAAAGGACATAATACTGCAATATTAAATAAAGAAAATGGGAACAGTGTTCTAGCTCATGCTGACCAAATAAGATCCCAAGGAGAAGAATTGGATGAGGAGATGCCTTCAGAGATGCCCATTATTGATGTATCAGAAGAGTTAATGCAGAATGAAACTGCGGAGGAAGAAGTAGAGAGGGATGAGTTAGAAGAGGAAGAAGTAGAGAGGGATGAGTTAGAAGAGGAAGAAGTAGAGAGGGATGAGTTAGAAGAGGAAGAAGTAGAGAGGGATGAGTTAGAAGAGGAAGAAGTAGAGAGGGGATGAGTTAGAAGAGGAAGAAGTAGAGAGGGATGAGTTAGAAGAGGAAGAAGAGAGAGGGATGAGTTAGAAGAGGAAGAAGTAGAGAGGGATGAGTTAGAAGAGGAAGAAGTAGAGAGGGATGAGTTAGAAGGGAAGAAGTAGAGAGGGATGAGTTAGAAGAGGAAGAAGTAGAGAGGGATGAGTTAGAAGAGGAAGAAGTAGAGAGGGATAGAAGAGGAAGAAGTAGAGAGGGATGAGTTAGAAGAGGAAGAAGTAGAGAGGGATGAGTTAGAAGAGGAAGAAGTAGAGAGGGATGAGTTAGAAGAGGAAGAAGTAGAGAGGGATGAGTTAGAAGAGGAAGAAGTAGAGGGGATGAGTTAGAAGAGGAAGAAGTAGAGAGGGATGAGTTAGAAGAGGAAGAAGTAGAGGGATGAGTTAGAAGAGGAAGAAGTAGAGAGGGATGAGTTAGAAGAGGAAGAAGTAGAGAGGGATGAGTTAGAAGAGGAAGAAGTAGAGAGGGATGAGTTAGAAGAGGAAGAAGTAGAGAGGGATGAGTTAGAAGAGGAAGAAGTAGAGAGGGATGAGTTAGAAGAGGAAGAAGTAGAGAGGGATGAGTTAGAAGAGGAAGAAGTAGAGAGGGATGAGTTAGAAGAGGAAGAAGTAGAGAGGGATGAGTTAGAAGAGGAAGAAGTAGAGAGGGATGAGTTAGAAGAGGAAGAAGTAGAGAGGGATGAGTTAGAAGAGGAAGAAGTAGAGAGGGATGAGTTAGAAGAGGAAGAAGTAGAGAGGGATGAGTTAGAAGAGGAAGAAGTAGAATGGGACAAGTTAGAAGAGAAAGACCAGAGTATGCAAGAGGAACAGTTCGATTATAGGGAAAGACGTGATAGATCTAGATCTCCAAGGGAAAGGAGAGAGATAAAGGAAGATGTTCAGGAGGCCACAAGAAGAAGTACAAGAAGTACTCGCGGCATAAGGCCCCTCCGTTATAGGGAGATGTAGTGAGATGCAAATTAGTATAATTTGCATATGAGCAGGTAGCTCATATGATAAACGGACACCAACTAGAACAGAGGTCGAAACGCTTACTTAGCAAGATACACGACACAACAGTGAAATAATGATAATCTGGGGTTGAAGAGCTCTTTTAGTAATTCAATTGCTTCGTCGAATTTTAAATCTCTTGTCTTTTTGGGTAATATAAAGTCCATAAATTTGTTATGTTCCGCCGTTTCCAGTTTTTGTAGTAATAATCTTATCTTTTTCTCGTCTGTCCACGTTTGGCAATCGACTTCATAAAAGTCCTGATATCTATGATAATATCTTTCGAAAGTCTTTTCCTCTTCTGGGTTATAGGTAAAACTTTCGATCGTCGACCATATTGTGTCTTGAGAAAAAGTACTTTCATCCAAGTCTTTCTGCTTAGACAGTATAGCTTTATGTATAAGTTCAGTCATTGCTAACTGTTTCTTTTCATTTTCTTCTTGTATTTTCTGAAAATTCAATAGTTTTTCCTGAAAACGTTCTTCACTCTCTTGTTGTCTTTGCATCTGATACTTAATGAGTTCCAGCATAGATGATTGAAATTGCTCCATGATTATGTATGTGTAGAGAAAAAAGAAAGCAGAATTATGTGTGTATTTTTTTTTTCTCTCTGAGCGGGGCCAAAAAATTTTTGTCGTGCCAGAGATGGCACGACAAATTTTTTTTTTTTTTTTTTTTTTTTTTTTAGCACAATAAATTGGTTATTGGTTATTAAAGATTCCAATTTAATCAATAGGTTAATGTCTAATGTAGAGTTTTTTCTTTTTGTTGATAAACTTTTCAATCTTTTGCTGTGAAAAAATGCTTGAACTCTTTTGAATTTGTTGAAAATCGTTTTTTTCACTGTTGCGATATTTATTTTTCAACGTAGGTTCTTCTTATCCTGTTCGAAGCCTCGTCGCCACTGTTGAGTTGTTGGGAGTGTTCCCGTGTGTGTGTATTCGAATAAAGACAGTTGTAGGGACAAATACTGGTATATTTGTAAGATGTAATTAACAACAAAGTGATTAGTAATAAGGAACGTCGGTTAGTAAGTAACAATAGCAAAAGTCTACAGTCCAACGGTATGTTAACCTGATCTCGACTGCTGTCGCTGAACCTGATCCTTCACACAACACAACTACTCTCTCTAGCACTGACTTATATCATAGAGGGATAAGTCCATTATCAGTCAGAAGGTGGGTGCGCCCCAACATATTGGTAACATCGTTAATTTCCATACGTTCTCTCCTAATTATCTTTTCCTTATGAATCAAAGTAATTTTGAATACTTGTCTATTTCTCCTGTCTTCATTTTTGTCTTTTCTATTGGCAATATTGTAAATTTCTATACGTTTTTTCCTGACTTTCTTTTCCTTTCCTCTTTATTAATTTCTTATCTTTATTTCTCTTTATATAAATCGTTTTTACCTTTTATGGAAAACATTCCAAAGATGGAGAATGAAGCATTTACATGGCCTTGTGAGCAATGAATTATTTTCAACATTACAGCCTTTTTACCACAGATGAAATATCTCAAGCCTATCACTGCTCTGTCGCTCTTTCCATGCCAAATGTTCACTTGAGCTACATTAACCATATCTTACCTTCAAGTCATGAGTCGGCCATCATCTATCCTACATTTCTTTACAATCTGTACTTCTTACTTTCTGATGCAATAACCTCATTTGACTACATTCTATCTTGAGTGGTTTTTCAAAATTGGTATTCTGCTATCATATCTGAGCTTATTGAGTCTCTAGATTCATCAACATTATTCCATTCGTGAAGGTGAAACCTGTAGTCAATATACTGATTTATCAGACTTTTGTTTGGATTCTATACCCTACTGACACACATCCTGTCGACATGGAAAATGCAGACAAACCTATACTTAATCAGAAAATACAAGAATCTCTTGCTTTCAGCCAATTATGACTGAAATAGAGAAAGATTTACCTTAACTTCACTGCAGAATATCTGGGAGAAAATAAAAAAAAAAAAAACTTTTGAGAAAGCAAGAAAAATTGGATGGGAACAAAATTACATCTTATCAAAACCAGAATCAGATCATCTACATTGAACTATAAATGACATGAAACATAAGCAGATTGACAATCTACATTACAAATTAGAATAATGGATTTAGAATAAAAATCACACAATATTATGTTGAACGGAAAGATGATTTTAAAGCTATGGTAGACAATTTCAGATCTCGACAAAACAAAACAAGGATATTTCACATGAAAATAGTAGAAAGTATACCAAGAAATAGGACTGTGGCGGACATGAGACAGAACCTGGGATGAGCACAACTGGTCGCGACTTGCCTTGTCCCCGCCAAAAAAGAGCCTATATTTGCTTAGCATGTAAAGCTACTGCAGTTGAAATGAGGGAGAAAAAAGCACTTACTGCTCTGCCGTAATCTGTCCTCGGCCAGATGACGTAAAAGAATGAGGGGGGACTTGCATTGCATTTTTATGCAATAAAGATGCAATGCATTATGGGACATGGACACAATGAATTATGGGATCACATGAAGATGCAAGGGATTATGGGTATATGGACAAATATAAAAGCAACTACTTTTTTCCCAGGGGGCGAGTTCTTCGAGTGATGTTCACGGTTGGCGGCAAGAACAGTCTGTTAGTGTGATTTTGAGACAGAACTCAAGAAGGAACGACTCAAGGTTGAAATACCAGCTGGGAGAGCTTGAATTTACTCGCTGGTTGCTGTTTTCTTTATTCGCCTCAAGGACACATTGTTTTTGAAAAACCAAAACACACATTAATATTTAATGTTTAATGAGGTTTATGACTTTATCTTCTAACAGGTATGAATATAACAAATATTTTGATAAAATTTGAATTTTTATTTCATAAACTTTTTACTGTTTACTTGCAAGAAGGAGTGCAAGTATTTTTCATTAATGGTAATAAATATCTCTAACAAACATAAGAGGATTGTCTCATACATCTGAAAATATGAAATTAATGATAAAAAAGACTTTTGATAACCCAACTGCTTCAGAGGATGAAAATATATGAAAACTTTTAAAACAAGAAATAAATGTGTGACACTGGGACCTCAGAAAGTTAATCAAACAAAAAAGAAAAAAAAAAAAATTCACAGAAAGGTGGATTGAAAAGTTGAAAAGAATGTGACACTATTTAGCTATGGTAATTAATTAACTAATTAACCATAAAAATTGAACAGGAGAATGCTGAAAACAGAAAAGAAGGGTTAAAAAATTATCCTGAAGGGTATACCGTTCAACATCAAAAAAGATTTTACTTTATTTTTCAAAAAGTCTATTTTTCTCAAGAAACCGAAGAATTGTGTCAATGATAATTTCACAGAAAGGTCATATGGCGATCTTTGACAATTGATTAATGCTGGTTGCTAAAAGTGCTGGGTAAGAAAACACAAAATAATCAGAATCAACAAAGATACCGTTTGAAAGTGTATAAGATATTAAGTACACCAGTAAGGAAGTTACCAGTTGAGACGGCCTTGTGTTAATTGTAAGAATTTTGGCAGGGAAAAAGGGAATTGTGTAAACAAAGTTCCAGTTAACAATTCTGACTGAGAAATCCTGAATAAGCAAAGAGTTAATTAATGAAGCAAGCTTAGCTATACCAGCATGATCGAAACTCCATTGGTCGTGTGGTAGCAGTGGTGATTGGCGGAGGTAGAATAATAAGAAAGATGGAGAAGTTACTAACATCCACCGAAAGGAATTGATGTGAAGTACCAATATAAGGAGTAGGGAATTTAGGAGGATAGCTATCCTGCAACCTCTCCTCACAGATGAAGGGATCCCCCCAGAAATAGGAAATACTTAATTTTCCAAAAATGAGAAGTGTTTAATTTTCCGAGCCAGACAACAAAGGGACCCTTGTAGGAATCGGGATTTACCAAAAACCCCAGGCTGCGTCTAACCCTGCACTGGTTTTTGCTCAAAGTCCATATAAGTGAGCACCCTCGGGCAGTTCGCCAGTTCTATTTTGCATTTGGAGAGAGCTGACTGAGAGATTCCACAACACCTGCCAATACAACAAAAGCCTCCAACTTTGCCTTCCTACAAATAGCAAGTTATACTGAAGAACAAAGCTAAGCCAGCACTTAAAAACTAAACCAGTTGACTTAGAAGACCAGAACTTGCCTAGAAGTATAATAGTGTCACTCTCAGAAGAAATGGGTTGAGAAGAAAAACACACTCCTGTATAGAACAGACTGATAAAAGTTGATTTGCTTTCTTTAAACATACCCGAAATTTTTTGTTTTTCATTTCTTTTTCTGCTTGTGCGATGTCATCTCCAGTTTAGACTCACCTTGCACTCCGGTCCCAGTGCCTGATTGATCTCATCAACCTAAAATCAAAATCACAAAGTGGGTAGGTTAGACTTGAGATCAAGATAGTTACTTCAGTAAATAGTCATTGGAAGTGAGCTGAGAATGACAGGGCTGGTATTGAACTGGTTGCATCTGGTTTGAAGCCGTTATATATTCATGCCGTCAGAATTGACCAACCATCCCAGACTAAAGGATTCTGCTGTGTAGTGATGATTGTTGATCGACTGGGTCACATATTGGTGGCAGTGACTAAGAGTCTAACCTAGACACCTTCAGTAGGTGTAACAGCTCGGTGCTGTGACCACAGGATTCGATACTGGACTAACCACTGTAACAAGAAAATTAAAAATCAAATTCATTAAAAAATCATGTTTCAAAATAATAAAATGAAGCCATGAACAGTTGCAAGAAGAATCAAACTCAAATTTAACTAGGCGGAATTCAGTAAGGTTGAATAAAACCAAGACTACCCACCCTTCCCTACTTTCCACAATGCATCCTCAAAGATGTCAGTTATGGAAAATAGAAAAACATGTCAATAAAGAAACTCTGGTAGTCACCAAAAAGATTGTTCTGGACAAGTAGCCAGGAAAGACATCTGGTTTGAATCGGCCACCCAGAAGAAAAATATACCTACAAAAATAGAGATTAGCTCGATGTGTTTATTCATTTTAATTTCTGTGATAATCGTCAAAAATTTTATATAGTCGACATTATTTTGGAATCCTTTGGATACAAATGATAAACAAAAATTAATCACTAGCCATGGAGTGACCATAAGTGGCTGGTTGTGTGGCCTGTTTGATGGAGAAATCACAAAAAAAAACAAAAAAAACAACCAGTGTGAGACAAGCTGATAAAGTTTAATGAACAGAAATTCCTTTCTCACCTACACATTTTGAAAGTTTGGATTCATCACAGATGGTGTGTTGGCTTTTGGAAGTGAGGTTGGATGCTGAGAAAGTGGGAGAAGGAAGAGAGATTAGCACTGAAGTAATGGTGTGAGATGAGACATGAATGGAGTTGGAGCTTGATTCCTGTAACCATTCTCAAAAGGGGGCTGGACATTTGGAATATCACTCAAGTAAACATATTTTGAAAATATGGAATTTTAGAAAAAGATTGAAGATGAAGTGGAAGATAACCAAAGCCAGATGCTAGTCAACCTCACCCCTGCTGGATGCAAGAGTCTGGAGGTGGGAACAACTTGAAGAGACATCACATTACTGCTAGTGGAATCCACATTCACCAAGAACTCCTGATGAAGACCTTGTGCAGGGCCTGAAGACTAGAACTTAGAAATTACTACCAACACAAGCTGCAAACTCCAAAAGGGGATTCCAGTATCATTTGATTATAACCATATTGGGAAGGGTTAAAACCACTGTGTACAATAAATCATATATAAAGCAAATCATTGTTACATTTTTAACCTGAGTTAATTCTTTATTCCAAAGAATTCTTTTTTGTGGAGCTCCTTGCCGTCAACCTGTTCTTCACTCCAGTTTACTTTATCACCCTTTAAGCTCAAAAGCACAATGTGGCAGAGGAGTGAATGGTTGTAAAGCAGACAAACATCAACTAGATTGAGTGGAACTGTGTTCTATAATATGATACCAGCAACAAACTAGCAATGCATTAATGAGTGAGGAGTCAGCTCAATGTAATCACAGTGGTCTGAAGGAACTTGAAGACCAATGCAAGATAGAGAGTTACAAATGTCCAACCCAGATTTCAGAGAAATAACTCTAATCCCACCAATAGACAAGGAAAAATTAGGAAGTGTTTTAATTGTAATTCTACAAAACACTTTGCAAAAGACTGTTATCACCTTGAGAATAATAAAAGAGCAGATGGTGACAATATAATACTTAAATTATTATGTTAAATGCTGAGCCCTAGTTGTGTATGTTAATTAAAAGTCACTTGGAATGAGAATACTAGATATTGCTTGGATAAAAACTGTGACTGGTAAAATGTGATAATTTAATGGATAAAGAAATGTGTTTTGTTAAATTATTTCCAATTAACACAAAATTAAAATTTGAAGATAGTGGAAAGTGCAAGAACTGAAAAAGTAAAATTTGTAGCAGCTATTGACAGAAAAAGGTTATGATTGAATTGGGTAAAGTTTCTATCGAGCAGACTGTAATAGACGTGACAGTGACTTACCAGGAGCAAAACGAATTCGCTGCCTCGCGTGTTGAACCATTCTCTGAGAGTCGGTCGTGCGTGTGTGCATATGCCTACTGACATTTTTATGCAGCAGGCTTATTTGCATAAGAGAACAACACTACCTGTTAAAAACCAGGCAAGTGGACGTGGGAGACCACTGCTCTTGTAGGCTTCGGTGAGACTAGACATATTGCTGAAAGAAAGCGACATCAATTTCTGGACACCTGACAAGCTATTTCAACCGATATGGGCGGCCAGTTTGATTTAAAAATTATTCCCAAGTTTGACGGGACTGGATCTGTGGTTGAATGGCTCAAGAAGTTAGAATCGGTGTGCGACCTATCGGGAGTGAAGCGGCTTGATCATGTCATCCCTCTTCGCCTAACCAGGGGAGCATTCGTGGTTTACCAGCAACTATCTACGGAAGAGAAATTGGATGCGGCTCGAATCAAGGGAGCATTGATGACAGCATTTGCCCCTGATAAATTCATGGCGTATGAACAATTCGAGTCACGTGTATTGCGTCCAGGTGAGACCGTAGATGTATATTTGGCAGATCTACAGAAGCTGTCCGTCCTTTTGTAGGTGTGCCAGACTGTGCGATGGCATGCGTGTTTGTGCGGGGGCTTCCTGAACCTGTGAAAAGGCTCCTGCAGTCCTTGGCCAGGGTGGATGATATGTCTCTCAAGGAGCTATTGGCCCGAGCTCGGGCAACCATAAAGGATGAGACAGCTGAGAGGGAACCAGTCGTCACTGTAGTGCAGCCCTCCCAGACTCATCGATCTTCCTCAGACATGGGCCCACTTGTCACATGCTATGAATGTAATGGGCCCAATCACTTCGCAAGGGACTGCGTGAAGAGGTGAAGGGCAACTAACATGCATTGCTATCGATGCAACAAGACCGGTCATCTGGCAAAAAAATTGTCCAGGAAACGGAGGTGAGGACGAGACTTCAGCGCCGATCCACTCCCCAAACAGCAAGTAAACTCGGTGCTACCCATCATTACTGTGTGTGTTGACGGCACACCCTGCTCGGCTCTCCTTGACTCTGGGTGCTCATGGTCAATCTTGAGCGCGAGTTTGTCGGTCTTGGTCGAACCAGGGTATGGTGGTATCTACATTAACCGGAGATACGCAGGCTTGCTGTGGAAGGGGCACCGTCAGAATTCGCACAGCAACCGGTAATACTGCTACAATCGATGTGCTGGTTATGCGAGGGAAGCCCCTGGATTTTGACCTGTTGCTTGGTATCGACGCCATTAAGGCACTCTGTGGAGTTTGCATCACGCAGCATGGAAGCATGGAGTTTGAAAAACCACAGTCAGTCTGTGCAGCGATTCATATCAGCGAAGCCGATTTCAGTGCGAAATTCAATGAATGGCAGGGAGTTTGGGTCACAGCCTGGAAGTGGTCGGCAGGTCATGCACCAGGGAAACTTCAGAATCGGATCTCTGAATATCCGGTATCCAGCGAGATGAGAGAGGAGTACGAGCATGAATTGCAAACATGGATGGACAATGGTTGGTTGGTGCCGTACAGTGACAAGGAGTTTGGCCCGCCCAATATTGAGATAAAATTGTTCAAGGCATTTATCTAATGTGGATAGCATATTTTGGTACACTTAAAAATTCAAATACAGGAAGATGAATGAGAAATTAATTATGAATGCTTGTACACCATACTATAAGATTTTATCAGATGTCAATTGTGAACCCAAGTAGCACTTCCTTGAGCAGTAAGTGCTAAGAATTCGATGCAAAACAAAGGTAGATTTATTATTTACACTACTTATATTTGGACTCTTGTCCTCATCTTTGTTCTTGCTTTCACATTTTGGCAGTTGTGCCCTTTGGCCATCATCAGGTATATATCAATCTCGATAACCTACAGGGAATTCTGAACTGAAGCCTTTATTTAATCTACATGGGTAGACTGCTCTTATTCCACTGTCCATATCTCAGAATATTGTCCAGTTCTTATTTTTAGTACTGCTCAGTTATTGCTTGCCTGTTTCCACTGAGTCCAAATACACACTGCCCGGTTTTGGGATTGCACTCATAATTAGTATGTCACCAAATTCATGAACTTATGCTTTAATCCACTTTTGTCCCATAACAGTCTTGTCCCTGTTGACAAGCTTCAATGCATCTCAGATCTCTGCCTCAGTTATAGGACCCAAGAACCCAGCCACTTCTGTTGCATTGAGGTGAGGAAATTCAGCAAAGTAGGTATTGAACTGGGCAACACAGACTGAGCACCCTGGTAAAAATATCCTGAAAATAAGATCAGAAGGCCCCACATATGCTCTTGTTTATGGTCAGAGAGTGCCATCCGATAATGTGTTGCTAGCTATATGACAGTCTGAACCACTCTGAATTTCAGTAACCATAATTGCTGCCTTGAATGACATTCTTTTTCACCTGGCCCTAACTACCAGAGCTGTCCTTCTTCATAAGCAATGGGTTTTCCCCATTTATAGTTATCTCTAATGTTGTTAATCTATCTTGGTTGAGCTGTTTACCAGAATTATCAGCAAATGACCTAATAACAGCCTTAAGGTAACCCCCACCACTTATTTCCAACCACAGCACCAGTCAATTCTTTATGTAAGGTAAATAAAAATTGGGCCTGAAAATCCTTCTCATTGAACAACAATGTGTTGAATTTCCAGTAATCAGCCCCACTAAGCCTAACCTTATCTTAGTTTATACAAACACAGACATGCATAAACTATTCAGTGGAAATTCGGATGGCCTCATAGCCCTACTTTGTCTTGCCTAATTAAAACTCAGTTGATATAGCTAGTACAAAACATCAATACCCTTATTAGTTCAAGTCTATACTACATCCTGGAGCAGCTCATTTCATAACTTATCAACAACATCCAACCTGTTGATAAGCTAGCAAAATGATGTTGCATCTATGTTATTAGTACCCAATCTTGTCCCAGTTCAATCTATATTGGGATCAAGGATAGCACTCTGGTCACTCACTAGATAACTTTTTAAGCAATAGTAGGAATTTCAGTTCCTTTAACTTTCTAGAATTGCTGAGATACTTCTCAGCCCTTTTAAGGGTGATCTTACACACATCTTCCCCTAAATTAGATGGCAGGTTGACTTTTCTTTTTCTTTTCAGACTTTGGTTCTAATGTAGTGTTTCTTCACCTCTTTGTTTTATGGTCTGTCTTTTTGGGTGAATGTGTGGGTGTAGGTGAGTTACTTAAAAAGAAAGGCTACTACATTGTTTTTGTAATGGGGTCATTTTGGATGGTGTGGGTGTAAAGGATTGGGTCATCAGAGGTGGAGCCTTTGATTGTTTTCCCTACATCTGGGAAGAGGAGGCTGATAAAAAAAATCTTGGTGTAGTTTTGATTTGGCTTTTCACTCACAGCTATCAGTGCTTTGATTTTCTCTTCTTTTTAAAATCTTCCATGCTATATCTTCCTTTTTTCCCTTTTATTTTATTTTTTATTTTTTTACATAGCTTTCCACAATGTCACACTCCTTTTTGATACTGGCTGTTTCTGTCAACTTTGTGGGCTTCTGGGGACTGATGACTGCTCACTCTATCCATTCCCCCTGACTCTTCTCATTCTCCATATTTGTGGAAGGCAAAGGAGTCCCAGCCACAGACATGCACATGACAGGTGTCACAGAACTAGAGGTCAGCTTGATAGGGATTTTGGTTGATTGGTTGGTGAAGGTGGGGGTATAATCTAGATGCTTTCTTCTATGGGCAGGAAGGTACAAGGTGACCAGTCTTGTCACACTTCCAATAAGTTGGTTTCTTCCCCATCACAATGCCAGGATATTTCTTTGAGGAGCATGCACTTGGCTGAGGGAAAGGTCCACCATTAACAATGAAACAATGTAGCTAACCAAGTGGTATCTCGAGCTGATTGGTTGAAGTACTTGTTCTTCTAGTAACAGCATGCTCACTTAATCCAGTAAGGCTAGAATAGGGAGTAAATGGTCATTGGCCTCTTTTTATCTATTTAGTGCCCCACATTTTCCATTTTCATTATCCACCTCCCATTCCTTTCTTGATTACAGAAGGCAGAGTTCTCTGGAGCAGTGAGAACATTTCATTTTGTGTTTATATTTTGTGTTTAATTTTCATTTATTTTTTTATTCATGTTCCCACTATATTTTCACCCAGTTAATTTGCTTTTCTGCCATGTGTTAGTTGCAGAGAGGGTTCTATACTAACATACCATCCATTGTACATATCTTAATCAAATCATGAAGATGTTTTTATTCTCTGTCTATATTTCTAAGATGAGGTATTATGTACACTATTTACATTATTCGAACTATTGTCCTCATCTTTGTTGCCATATTTATTACAATGTTTCGGCCTTTGTACACTCTGGCCTTCTTCAGGTGGTTGGAATGTCAAACTGGACCCTTTATTTTGCTCACTGGGGTTGACTGTTCTAGTTGTCTAATGGATGTCAGTTATCAGTTATCTCCGGCTTAATCCCCTCTCTAAGTTCTCCACTGCCTTAACCAGGTATTGAACTCACACTCTTCGGGTCCTGTCACTGGATCTAACTAATGCCTTTATCCACTGTGCCATGTGTCCTTTATTATGTAAATAAAAATCAAATTTGTAAATATGGAGTATTAGGTCAGGATTTCATGGAAAGCATGCATGTTTTAGTGATTATGGTATGTATATTTTTTGTATAAATGTGGTATTATGGTGTAAGGATTATTAAAAGTGTGAATGTGACTAGTGAAGTGAAAGTTAGAACAGTGAAGAATTACCCATTTTTTGGCCTTGTATCATATTTTTTGTAAAAAAAAATAAATAAAAATATTAATCCCCAGAGAGATTGGAAGCAACATTTGTCCTCTGTCTACTGCATCCATTTAAGTTGTTACTGCTGACCAAGGAACCTTTTTTGCTTTTGTTGTCCTTACAGCCTATTGTCTCAGTCAGGTCACTTCATCTCATATGACAGAATTCTATGAGTTCATGAGTCCACCCCATTTTGGAACACAATCAGTGTTTTATTTCTAACCTGTTTTTGGTTATCACCTTTTGATAAACCACTTATCAAAAGGTTATAGC